TTGAGTTTTCTTTAGAAATATTCTTAGACTTGTTGACATCAGAGTGTACTAGAGATACTAAAGTGGATCATCCTGCCATTAGAACACACTTTCATAAATTTTTGAAGGAACCGAAGCTGACCTCCAACCTAATACTGACTTATTTGCTTGCTTTGGGGCTTGGTATACATTGGATTGGATTCCTCTTTCAGGTCTGAAAGATATAAGTCTGTAAATTTTTTGTTTCCTTCTCTCCTCTCTTCGGCATCTATAAAAGAAAAGATTGAGATGATTTCTTGAGATACATAGGGGTAGGTACATTACCGATGACACCACTATTCTAATTCAAATGAATGATCACACATTATGGAAGCGAGGGGTAAGCACATTACCGATGACCCCATGCATTAGCACCTGTCTATATTCATTGGCATTGAGTCTAAAAAGGATTCATAGAAGAGAGATATAAGGAGAAAAGAAGCCAGAATATGACTACATGTTTACTCAGATACCTGCTGGGGTAAGAGTCTAAGTATCCTCTGATTGATACTCCCGAGGTAAAGTCTGCACTTTATTGTATGTAAAAATGAGGTTAGTGGAGGAATGAGTCAAGCTAGTATTTGTTAAGTTTCTGGTAAAATGAATTTGGTTGATAAGCTAGGATATGGTATATAAAGTATCTCTGAGATTATAACTTATTTGATGTGGTTCCAACATAGTAGAGTTGATAGTAGTGAATTAAAGATTTTGTGAGTCCCTGCGATTTCATACCTCTTTTTTCAGATTGTAATATTCTTTGCTTGAGGAAAGTAAAAGTGTAAGTCTGGGGAGTTGATATACCATGGATTTTACATGTTTTCACCCATGGTATATGTTCTATTTATATATTATTATATGGGTTTGGAGTATGTGTTAGACTGTTTTCAGGTTCAGGTACGTTCTGGAGAACTTTGGTGATTCTGGAGCTTTTGAGGTGCAGAACTACAGATGCATCAGATGTTAATTTATCTATGGTTGGAGACCTTCCCACGGTTATATTGAGCTGATCCTTTCACACAAGATAGATCTTTGAGTAAGCTTTCCAATTCCACTGGTTTGAGGTCAATCAGCATCTTGTAGCAGAAGTTATGGATGTTTTTTACTGACGAGTAGTCTGTCTGCCTTGCGAGATGAAGCTGCCACAGCCTTGGTGTCGGTCGATGGTGATGATGTTAGGAGTTTTCAAGGCTCCTAAGGCAAATGTTGTAGTATAGATGATTGTCGAACCAGTTATGAGGGATTTAAAAGCACCGAGAATGCAAGTACAAGCTTAATCTAAGTGCGATCATGTGATTGATTGGTTTTTAAGGTTAACTATAACTAAAATGCAATAAAAGATATAACTTTGACAATGAAGGTAAAGGAGAACTCATGGGTGTAGGGAATTTGACCTTAGGTGATCAAGTTTCGATCTAAGGATGGCAAGCGATCAATTAAACTGTTTACCTTAGGCCTAGATACCATTCTAAACAAGCTCTATATCTAGATGAATGTTCATTTACTACCATAACTCAAGCATCAAATGTCTTTGGTTGAATATTATGAAAGTAATCATTAGGAATAGATCTATTAGCCATCTTAACACCTTTAACAACAAGTGTCTCTGGTAAAGACTGTTAAAAGCTTAAGAGAGTTGACTCAGACATTTCATCTAACACTTTGTGAGTGAGAAATGTCTAGAGATCAACCTTTGAGTGATCAATTCAAAAGAGGCATTATGGTTACTCTAATAAGCAAGGAACAAGATAAATCTAACACTAAAACATCATAGGTCTAACCTAATCACCCTTAATCTCCCTAACCCATGAATTCAAAAGGTGATTACTCACTAATCTCCATGATTCATCTTAAACCCATATTGGATTTCAGATTAATCCTGTAGAGAAATAGATAAGAAATCAACAAGAACACAAGATGAAAGCAATAAAATCTCAATCCAAAAGAAGTTTTCTTCAAGAACAAAAGATAATCCGCCTCTAGAGGCTTACAACGTAGTTTTAATTAGGTTTCTGAAACTCAAAACATAAAAAACAAAAATTGCAAAAAGGTCCTCAAAACAAGTTTTTCGTCACATAAAAGACGCACAGCGGGGTCACAACCCCGCTGCCAAGACCCCACTCCGGAGCTCACAGCGGAGTCCCGACCCCGCTGCCAAGGGCCGCTGTGAATGCTCTCTTTTTCTTTCGGAAAAGGCGAGCGGCCCCCTGAACCCGCTGCGTGGGTCCGCTGTGGTCTGGGCCGACCCCCTGACTCCGCCCCATGACCCCGCTCCGTCTGGTGTTGCTTGCAGCGACCTCTTGACTCCGCTGTGGCTGCTCCGGCTCGCCAAATGACATTTTTGCACTCTCTTTTGGCACATAATTGATCCCAAACACCTCCAAGAACTCCACAGCATGTTCCACCACCTGATAAAGACAAATGAATGCAAAATGCAACCTAAGAATGCATAAATCTAATCTATATGCTCAACATGAACAAGAATGCAAGGTTAAATCCAAGTAAATATGCAACATATCAGGTGATCCCAGAATGCGGGCTGAGTATATTTTAAGACCAACTAAAGCCCAAAAGTTATCAAAAATTACCAAAATACCCTTAGCCAACTTTAAATTATTTATGTGTTTTCTAAGCCATTGTTTAGGCTAAGCTTTCTATTCATTGTTCTTCGTTCTAGGAGAGAATGGATGAACTCTTTCAGATTCCTCCTGGAAATCCATTGGTTTTTATATTTATTCTATTGCAATTTCATGTATTCTTCTAATATTTATGTGACAACTATCTCATCTGAGTATATCCATCTGCTAGGTTTAGATTTTCTATATGGTATTGATGGATTAGCCCAAAACTAGAATTTCAAGAGAATTGATATCGACTAGTTGCATATCCCCCGCGCAAGCGCGAAGCCGGGATCATTGATATTTGCCTGTATTTTTTTCAGTTGTTGGTTTAGTGGGTTCTTCTAATAATACCAAATAATGATGAAATTGAAAGAATGTAGCAAGAGGGTAAAGTGAAAATATTGTATATATAATATATTAAATGTTATTTATATCCGAAATAAGGTTTGTAGGAATAATTAAACATAATATAGTTTCTAGTGTGTAAAAATAGGTGTCTATCTTGTTTTTTTTTTTATGCTGTAAATAGTTTTTATATCGGAGATCAAAAATTGATATAGTTTTTTATTTATAGTATATATATTTGTACTAAACGATATATCAATTTGAAAATAACTTTAATTTAAGCTAATATTTGTTGTTTGGGTTTCATTAGATAGGTTTGTAGATGTTTTTTTGTAAGTTTGGATCTTGTTCATGAATAATGTGGCATTTTTATTTACGGCGTCATCGACTGTGGAAATCCATTCACCGGAGTCTGATAAAAATGAAATTATAGTAACTATTAAAAATGTAAGAGAAATTACATATTCATTTTATAAATAAAGAAAAATACTTAAATTTATTGTTTTTTATTTCACATACATAATTTTTTTGAAAATATATATTAGGAAATATGTTCTAATAGAAAATATATATTAGGACATGATAGTGCCACGTGGGACTCGTTTTTTTTTTTTTTTTTTGGGCTATCCGTTTTTTGATATATTTTTAATTGTTTTTGGGTTTGAGTTCGTTAAGTTTTAGAATTTTTCTCATTATTTTGGGCTTTAAACAATAAGCTCAGAGGAAAAAAAAACATTAAAACGTTAAAAACAAAAATCTCATATGATAATAACCCAAATAAAAAAAATAAAATACATAATAGCTGCCTAGTTTGAACCCATACGCATGCAAGCTTAATTAGATGTTTTATACCACTCGGCTAAAGTGTATTCATTATTATAGTCATTTTAGAAAAACTATAGGCTTTTAAAAATTAAACGCACAGGACCCACAAATTGCTGACGTTGACACTTTGAGAAGCTTTGAAAATGTACCAGTATATATAAGACTGACTATAAGTGTTCTTAATGCATTGTTCTAGAAGAATTAACTAGATCCTGAACTCAGGACATAGGATACTATGAGAGTAGATTATTTGCCTGATAATATTCTGACTGGGTTAGATTTGTTAGAAACAAGCGAGAGCTGATCGATCATTTTTGATGGTAACCAACTCGCCATAACCATCGATCGATGTCAATATTCAACCATCGATCAATAGTGTTATACAGCGGTTGAGTCCTGGTGTATCAGCTCGCCTAACATCTTATCTATTATAATCCACGTATCTGAAATCCTAGATCTAATAACCTTCCTTCCATCAAACAACAACTCTTTGGTTTATTTGCATTATTATTTATTGATTTTGACCTAGTTTAGTCTGAAACTCAAATTTATTGTGCAAGATATCAAGTATTTGTGGTTATGATCCTGAAGTAATCTAAGTGATCTTTTATTTGAGAGAGTTGCTCTTGGGTTATTTGAGCACATGAATAATATCTGATAAGAACAAGGACCCATGAGGACTGAAGCCCGAAGTTCTAAAGGAAGTCAAATGAGCTATGGCTTTACGTATCAATGCTATCGATCACGATCAAAGATCCTATCTGTTTTAGTAGTAAAATATGCATTCCGTCTGATTTTCAAAAATAAAAATATATATTTCTATCCTTTTCCACCACACAGCTTGCAATATATTTTTGACCAATTAGTTAATAAAACAAAATTATGTACTAAAATAATAGTTTAATGGAGAAAGTGAAAAACATTTGACCATGTTCCAACCTCTCATATATACCAGAGTGGGAGCAGTGAACATACCAAATGCGGAAAGAGGCAGTAGAAGCTTTTTAGTTATCAGAGAATCTTTTCCAATATATTAAGGTGTGATAATGTAAGATTGAGAAGTTTTTTGAAAATTGCAACGAAAACAAAACTGGAACTTGTACTCCTTTCTCATCCACTGCAACAATACCATGCTACTACTTAATTCGATTCTCTAGTTTATACATAACAAAACTTGTTTTTTGAAAATTGCAACGAAAACAAAACTTGAACTTGTACTCCTTTCTCATCCACTGCAACAATACCATGCTACTACTTAATTCGATTCTCTAGTTTATACATAACAAAACTTGTAGAACATTATTGGAAGATCTACATTCTTCCGAAGTCCATATGATCAAACAAGTTACTATGTTAAATAGATAATTTAAGATGACTTATTAATTTATTGTAGTTCACCAAGTGAAAAATTAGCACTTGAGAAGGGTTAGGTCGCTGGAGGGTTACACATAGTCTATCCCCAACTCGGCCGCCCCAATGTGAATTCCAAGCTGAGATGAGCTTCCTCCACGTCATCCTATTTTCAAAAGATCAAAATTTAGGAACATAAGGTTATATAAGTATATGTGAGAGTATGCACAATAATAATAATAATGTTGCAATTGTTTAGGAGTGTACCTTATTGAGATGATTTATTCCCATGTGAGGATCTGTTTGTGTACATATGCTCATAGACACTCCCTTAGTGGATGACAAATATGATCTGTTCAAATTAAATGATAAAATCACATTTGAGAAATTTACTGATAACTCATATTGTTGGACTCTATAAGACTGCTTGCCAACACTAAAACCATTCATTCAAAGATTTTTTATTTGAATCTATTAGAGCATCTCCACAAAACATTCTATAACTTTAAATATGAAGTCTTTGGTTCTCCAAAAAGAACTTTAAAAATTCAAATTTAAAGTTTTAAATAGTGAAACTTCAAATATAGAGTGTCACTACTCAAAACTTCAAATTTGAAGTTTCATATTTTTATTTGCATGTGGATCCTTACAATTATACATTATATTTATAATTCTTAAATATTTTATGGTTTATCATTTTAACCCTTAAAAATTTCTATCTCATAAATTTTTCAATTTTTTTATATAAATTTAGATTTACACATATTTTTTTGAAAAACAACAAGATAAGATTTAAAATAGTTAAAATTAGAACTAGACAACAACAATATTACAAGATTTAATGTGATATTTGATTTAATTTCATATTTAGTGTAACATTATCATTTAATATTGCTGTAATATTTTTATATATGTACTAGTTATTTATAAAAGTTCTACTAGTTATGACAAATATAAAGATTATGGTATAAAATATAAATAGTTTTAAATTTAAGTTTGAAATTTTACTTTTGGAATATAACACCTACAAACTTCATATATAAAGTTTGCACACTCTAAAATATAGTATCTTTTTGGAGATGATCTTACTTCGTTACTGTCCTTGATTAGTATATGTCGACCATATATATATACAAAAAGTATATTCTTTTCTATTTTTGACAGAAAAAAAAACTCAACGACCAAAGGGAAAATGGCCAATTACGGAAATGATTGGTAAGTGCTGTGAGTGCTTTCTATAGTTCATTTTTTTTACAGCCATTTTAATTTAACAATCATGCTTTATAAAATTATTTAAAGGTACAGCCATAAAATTAAAATAGAAAACAAAATGGTTTTAGAAATCAGTTTTTCTAGAGTTTTAATATTTAGTGCTGTGAACAATATTAACAGAAATTTACAGCAATAAAATCTATGCTACATCAATAAAATCTACAGCTATTATACTAAAACCAAAAAATAAAAATCACAGCATTTACCAGTCACCCCTTACGTTAACATAAGCCGTAGGAAGAGGGTCATTCATATTCATCAAAATTCACGCATAACTAAGGTGAAGAGATTAGATGAAGAGTTTATTTTAATACAAAAACAAAATAAATAAAAAGTAACCTTTGAGTCTTTTGCACAGATGATGAGTTTGGCGAATTTGTGTCAGCATCAGCTTCTTCATTATTATTATTATTGTTCCCTGTCTTCTGCTCGGCCTCTTTCTCCACATTTCCTTCTCCTGATTATTCCCGAGAAAAAAAAAGAAACACAATAAATAAAAAGATAGTACATATACATTTTAACCAATAGGACTACAAAAATCAGTCAATCTGGTTTGAATGAATACCTGATGATCCCTTATCAGTGCATTTCACTGTCCTATACATCTGCATCAACAAACATAAATCCTTGAAATTAAAAAAAAAAAAGTTAGTAAAATAAATTGTAAATCTAAGTTTATTTCAACATTGCAATCATGTGTTAACTAGTGGCCCATATATATACACTTTCATTGAAATGGTAATATGCATAAGTGTTTTTCTTAGCAATTTTATGAGATTCCATAAATATTTTTTAAATCCCTAAGAAGAAATATAAGGAAAAGTAAAAACAGGAAGGAACCTGCAAGTGACTTTTGACATGAGCTAGGGTTAGATCCTTCACATTCATCAGCTCCAAGACTGATTTAGGTGTTGCCCCTGAGAATGACCAATTATTGAAAAATCTTAATACCTTGGTCCCAAACATTTTACTACTGAGACATAAACCTTAAATATATCTTTAAAAGAAGGAGAATGTAAGAGGAAATTAGTACTTTCATGGCCTCCAAGAAGTTGAACAGCATGGACGAAATGAGCATGTAGAGTAGAAGTCCATCTCATTCTTGGAGCTCGGATGCTTCGTTTAAGACTAATCACTGAAGATGAGGTTCTCTTGAAATCTCGACCGTAGATTTGTGGTTGGAACATGTTTGAGCTGTGCCTCTGATGGTGATGATATGAATGATGTTCAAAGCCTAAACTCAAGAGAGATTTCTTGAAGAAGTTGTTCTCATGGCTCAACTCACTGAGGCTACTTCCGGAGTCGCTGCTTGTGGTGGAGCTCAGGTTACCGCCGTGAAGAGGTTTGTCGGCGTGAGAGTTTGGAAGGCTGATCTGAAGAGACAGATCCGGGACTGAGGTGGAACCTCTCATACTGCTTCTTGACTCGAACTTGATCATCTCCCGATTATTTTTTTCTCTATTACTTCTGTATTTAAATAGTGGAGAGAGATATAAAAAGAGAGTAAGTGATAACTGCAGAACAGCACTTATGACTTACAGAGGGAGAGAAAAAGAAGACGAAGAAAGGAGTGTTTTCTCATTTAAAAATGCCATTGGCTTTTATTAAAGAAATATTTGTTTTTTCTCATTTTCTCATTTAAAAATGCCATTGTTTGGTAATAAAACATCCAAACATTTTTTTATCAGATAACACCCAAAGTTTTTAGCTAACTAGAAGAAATGATTATGCAGGTATAGCCTGATGTAGGCGATAGATAAAGTTAATAATTATGATAAGATAATTGTAAATTACGGAAAATGTTTTTTTTCTTTTACGCGTATTAGTAAAACTAATTTCTACAATTTTGAAAATTAACATTACATCTCACAAAATAATATGTGATTCAGGAAAACAGCCATAGTGTATCATGAATGTGTACATAACCATACTTTTTTGAACGATACATCAACATACTTTTGCCTGATATAATATGTATCTAGATTTTGATCTACATTTTCAAAGCGTAATAATAATGTTTTTTGTGAAAATTTTATATAATCGCATTTTATCTTTATAAATGGACATAAAATCCATAATCCGACATCTGAATTGAACCTACACCAAAAAAATCCAATATGTACCGAGTCTGAAAGGTAAAAAAATATCAGTATGGTTTTGTATAATGGTATAAAATATATCCGAACCAAAAATATTTTAGCCGACCCAATTGGTAATCAAAAAACTGAAAAACCCAAAAATACGATAAGAATATCTAAATTAATCACACATATAAATATTTCAACCATAATATATATTTAAAATATTTAATAAATATATATTAATATTTATTTACCATACAAACATATATATATATATATATATATATATATATATCTAATTTGAATACTCTATCTATAAGAATTATATTATTATTATTCTGTATTTGGTGAAGGTTTTGAAAATATTTTTATTGCATCTGAATTTTAGTACAGTTGATATATACATATTAGTAGGCATATATAATTTTTTTTCTTAAAAAATAAAATATAATAGATTAAGTTACTTAAATTTATTGTTAGAATAAATCATATCAATTATTTAAAAAAAACTGTAGATTGGTTATTTTTATTTTTAGATTGTTTATTTAGTTTCTTAATTTTAGGGTAAGATATATATTTAATAAATATTAAGTTAGATATAAGTAAAAATAATAGGAAATCTAGTTAAATGTAATACTCCAATATAAACTATTTTTAAGTAGATAAAAATTGATTGTTTTAATAGTATTGATTTGATTTGATGGCAAAAAACTAGGGGTAGCCATTCAGGTTTTAGGTTTCTGGAGTTAAAGATTTTGGCCCCATTCAGATATAGAAATTTTGGTTCGGATTAGGTTTGGATCTTTGTTGGTTCGGTTCTGGTTCAGATAACCCATTTAATTTAATTTTTAAAATTTTAAAATTAATGAATAACTTAAATTTCAAAATCTAAAAACAAAAAAAATAATATATATCATATACATTTGACTAATATATACCAAAATATCTAAATTTAACATAATAATTTGTTTGACTTGAATATTTGGATGGAGAATCAATAGACATTTTAAGTCATTTTAGTGTTCGAGTATTGTTTAGCTATTTTAGATATTTATTTTAACTATTTTCAAGTATTTTGGACAAATTCAAAATATTTTATACATTCTGGAATTTCTAGATATTAAATATATAAATAGCTAATATATTCTAGTATGTAAATCTGAATCGGATATATTCGGATTCCTAAATTATTTCAGTCCGGACCGGGTTTGGTTTCGATTCTTTAGATACTAAATTTTTTTAACCCATTCGGATAATAGACTAATTTTGATTCGGATTTGATACTATTTTTTGGATCAGATTCGGATTGGTTTTTCTGATTTGGATTTTTTACCCCGTCCTAACGAAAACCAGCAAAAGCTTATCTTATTAACAAAGCATTCTAAATAATGTTTTTATTTGATTTCGAAGGTATTAGATATATAAAGTTTGTTATTGTATACTCCGTAACTAATACTCTTACATTGGTAAGTTACACACTGAAAATGTAATATTACAGTCTGTGAATCTATATTAAACAACGCATTTATTCGATCTGTATTAAACAAATGTTAGAAGATTTATGACAGACAACATCTTTTGATTAGTGATTAAAAAGTTGAAACCAAACTTACACCAAAAAAAAAAGTTGAAACCAAGCAGAGGGAAAAAGGGTGGGTGTGATAATTGGATAATGAGTACACTATGATTTGCATGTTTTACTATTTTAAATAAAATAAATAAATACTTTTAAATTTCCAATGCTAAAAAGATGAGTCTTAAAAGTTCTGCCTCATAGGGTTTAATGGAAAATGGATCAGAGTTTTGCATTTAATATTTCTTACAATCCTTCAAACTGAAAAAGCAACTGCGATTTTGTCATGGGGATTCTTGTTTGAACACCAAATAGGCTCCGAATGGAAATTTGTTTAGCTTTTCGGTGGTGAAGAACAGATAAAGATAAACTAATTCCTCCAATTGTTCTGAAAAAAAAAAAATCTAATTTCTCCAATCCAATTACTTGCGTTTAATTTTCTTTATCTTTCTTCACCACCGGAATGCTTCATAAAGTTCTGATTTTGTCTATATATATATGAATACCTCCAGTTGTTCTGAAAAAAAAATGAATTCCTCCAATCCAATTACTTTATTGAGGTGTATCGTAAAATTTTGTGTACTTATTTAACCAACCAACCCAAAATTTAATGTAACCCAGCTATTTTTTAAAAATTATTTGTTATTTTAGAGTTTTGCACATAAATTAAAAAGCTACTTAAATGTTTAGATTTACCTTTGTTGACCATTAAAATTATATAATATTTAATATTTATTTTAGTGTAATTAAGAACAAAAAAGGTAAAAAATATTAAAATTTTCATTAGAACCATAAACAGACATATATTTTGCAACAAAATTTTTATGATAGAACGAAAATTAATCAGAAACGGAGACAATATATATTAACTGTACATTTAGATAGACTATCCATATAATATTGACATTTTTTTAATCAGTGACACAACACAAATTGATTTGAACGAATGCAACGCAAAACTTGATTTTACTGGGGACTTGTTTAATAAAAATTAAACGACAAACCAAACCGAACCAAATTAAAAAGGCTAATGATCGATATATGATAAGCATAAATGTGAAAATAAATAAAAATAAATCACAAATAGTTTTTTTACTTTCGTACAATTTATATAAACTCCACACCTAAAAATACTAATAAATTAAGCCTTTAATAAAATCTCATTTGTGGTATCTAACCTATTAAATTAGGGTCTTATATTTTATCCAATATAGAGAAGTCATAGTATGACCATTACATTAGTTATTTAATATGATTTAGTTAATTATTTACATTAATCAATTAAATGTATAATATTTCTTAAGAAAATCTTCACAAAGATATTAATAATAAACCAATTTGAACTATAAATTTAAATTTTATTTCTACAACAAAATCTGTTGAGAAAAATCGAAAAAGAGCTTACTAAAAGTTTTAAATATGTTTTTAAAAAAATTCATTAATTATTTTCGTAATTAATATACGGATAGAGTTTTAAAATTAGTATTAAACAAAATACTCCCTCCGTTTCAATTTATTTGTCATTCTAGGTTTTTACACACAGATTAAGGAAACATTTAATTTTACACATTTTCAATAAAAAAACACAATTACCAATATATCTAACCACTTTTCAACCAATAGAAAAATAGAATATCATATAAACCTAATAAATTCTGTCTCGAAACTCTAAAACGACACTTATTTTGAAACGAAATTTTTCCTCTAGAATGACATCTAATTCAAAACAGAGGGAGTATAAAATATAGAAGTAGTATTAAAATTCTATACCATTTTATAAAATTTATAATTATAGTCTATACTATATTAATTAAAATATAAATATGTGTTGATTATATTAAAGTGATAGACTAGCCTATTTTATTTTTAAGAAGTTTTTTCATTTAAATAAATAAAAAGATATCATTCACCATTAAAACGGGTTAAATTTCCATAAACGATTTACTTTTTATAAAAAAAATAAAATAAAACAAACATATATTAAACTTTTTTTTGTCAGCAACATAAACAGATTCTAAACAGACTCTGCAAACCAAACAGGGGGCTCCACATCCATATGAACAACATACGACGATTGTTTCTTGGCACTACGTGCTAGACTGTCCCGCCTTTGTATTCAGTGTTCTTGAAATATGAATGAGATTTGAATATATGAAGCTTTCCTTGAGGAGATTGATGTCGTCCAGATAATTTGCAAAAGCTGGTCATTCCTCCGGTGTAGAAACCATCCTAACCAGTTAATACCATATATTAAACTTTTATATTTACAACTATATATAATTTTCAAGATTGTTAACAAATGTTAATACCATAACATCCAAAAATTCTCTATATCATAAAAATTATTAAATAAAATATTACCATAATTAATTTATATTTCTATAATATCTATGATATAAATTTATGACTGTAATCTATAATAATAGCATCTTAAGTAAAATTTTCTTTTGTCCAAATTTTATTTGACCAAGAAAATAAAATTTTCCAAATAAAATATTGTAAACTCAAGATATATTGAAAATAATATTTCTGTTTATAAAGTACAAAGTTCTTGCAAAATTACTAAAACATAACAATGTATTTACTTATAAAATCTCAAATTATAATAAATTGATAGATTCTAAAGTACATTTTTAAAACATAACAAAAAAAGATAAATTATCCTAAATAAATATCATTTTTTTACTATAGATAAAATAATAAAAAAATATTTTGCAGGAGATGATTTATCTGTTTATTTCATGTTATGAATTACTGTACCAAACTCAAAAATAGTATTAAGTAATAGTAACTAGGTGTTTTGCCCGCACTTGCGGGCATAATTTTCTTATGAATATTTATCCGTTGATGTTTG